TGTTTTTTCTATTCTTAAAAATGGCATAACTTTTTCGTGTTAATTCTGATTGAGATGATTTTTTTCTATGCGTTCATAACGAAAAGATGAATAAAACCCCACCCATATACCCTATTAAAATTTTTCATCACCATTGAGTTTTTATTAAAATATTATCTAAATATAAATTTAAGTTTTGACCCACTCAAACACAAACTCAAAAAGATTATCAATTCAAATCATAACTCAAATGTGCACATCCAAATACAAACTCAAATTACAACTTCAACTAAAATTATAACTCAAACTCAACTCAAGATCATTACTCAAGTCACTCTAACTCAAAAATATAAAAGAACAACCCCTAAACTTAAATTAAATTGTAACTCGAATTCAAACTTTTTCTGAGTTTTGTTACAAAAGAACAACTCCGCGGTCTCTCGAGTGTTTCTTCAATTTATTTTAATTGAGTAAAGCTCATTATCTTAAGAAATTGATAGGTTCCTAACAACGGTATCAGAGCATCTAAGATTCATGAAACTTTTTGAGTTGAGAGAAACTTAGGGCTAACCTAATGCTATGTTTGGTAATAATGAAAGAAAATATGATAGAAAGAAAATATGGAAGTGATAGAAAATAACAATGATGGAAATGAAATTGATTTTCTTTTATGTTGTTTGGTACAAGAAGATGGAAAGAAAATGAGCTTAACTTCACTTGTTTGGTATTGGAAGTTAAATTGAGAGGAAAGAAAAAATTTTACTCATAGATTACTTTTATACCCTTAAATTTTTTGCTTAGATGTTAATGAAAAAATGGTAGTTTAGTAACTTTACTCACTTTAATTAGTTGTCTCCATTTTCCGCCCACTTGTGGAAAGAAGATTAATAGTGGGACCCATATGTATTATTTTCCACTCCATTTTCTCTTCTTCTCTTTTTTCTTCTACCAAACAACCTACAATTCCATTTTCTCTCTCAAAATCTCTCCACCTTCTTCCTTCTTTCTACTTTTCTTTCCTACCGAACAAACTCTAAGAGCTAATCTCAAAATTTCTGGAGGTGAGTCGGCATGATTGGAACCTACAATTTCACTGATTGAACTGAGAGAAAAACTAAGGGCGTCATTATCTGCCCCTTAGAAGTGACCTTAGGGTTTCATACAAAGTTAAATCACGCCATGGTTTGCCGGAGATGGAGATGCAAGGCTGTTTGACGCGTCACCCAGAAGATTCGCGTGAAATTTTGATGGAATCGAACGATTTGAGCGAGTTTTCACGATCTGGTGGTACATCATCCAGATATAAGATGAACGACGATGATTTGGGACTTAGAGCCGTAGATTTTGGTGCAAATCATGAAAGAACACAAACTCTAGATGGAGATCGAGCTGTGAAGGTGAACCCATGCGAAAATCTGATCTTGTCAGATTTGGGACTGTACGATTTCTGGCGCTGCTGAGGCTAGAACCAAAGAGTTGGCCACGATTTGGACTGGGCCAGAGAAATCAGACGCGAAACCAAGCGAGATTGGCGCTGTGCTCGAAAATTCCTGTCGAATTAGGATTGGGCCTTGCGATTCCGTTGCAGTTGAGGCTGATTTCGGCCGAATTTGGATCGGATCACACGATTCCGGTGTGTTTGGGGCTGATTCAGTGGAATTGACGCTAAGAACCAGTTTGGTCGGAGGATTCGTTCTCTGATTCAAATCATGGTTCATGGTTCGCTACAGTATTTTCTCTCATAAAAAATACACGTAAATCAAAAATGGTTCTAATCTATGAACCAAACGGGCTCTAATTACGACAAGGTTAGCAGTGGGTCTTGGAATTCATGTGTCATTGGGATCAATTGTGGTGATTTGGGGTGTGTTCGGCTGTCTAAAAAATTCAAAAAAAGATAACTCAAGTTCTAACTTTATTTAAGTTCATGTTCTTTTAAGTTTGAACTCGAGTTTATGATTAAAATTCGAGTTCAAGTGTTTCATTCAACTCGAGTTCATAAACTCGAACTCAAATTAATAAATAATATTTTTTCTATTCTTAAAAATGTTATAACTTTTTCGTTTTAATCATGATTGAGATGATTTTTTTTATGTGTTGACAATGAAAAAATGAATAAAATTTCACTCATATACCTTATTAAAATTTTCATCACCATTGAGTTTTTATTAAAATACTATTTAAATATAAATTTAAGTTTTTACTCACTCAAATACAAACTCAAAAAAAGATTATTATCTCAAACCATAACTCAAATGTACACAATCAAATACAAACTCAAGTTACAACTTCAACTCAAATTATAACTTAAATTCAACTCAAAAATTACACTCAAGTCACACTCCAAAAGAACATGCCCTTAATGATTGGGTCTTGCAATTTGGGGTTGGATCTCGGAATTCCAGCATAATTGAGGTTGGGGTAGAGATCTCTGGCAAGAATTCTGGCGAAATTAGAGCTGGTTCCACAAAAATCAGTGCAATTGGAGTGGCAATGGGAGGAAGTGGCGTGAATGGAGTTGAGACTTTTGCAAATGACAACCCTATAATTCATGCGATTGTTGTTCTAAAATCTGAAGTTAATAGGTTGGTTACTTTGTGTTCATCATTCCAAGGCCCATTGCTGCATTTGACGTTCCTAAATTTTCGCCAACAAAGGCCAGAATTTCAGTCATTTACAAAAATAATGATTCATGGTAGTGCTCAAGTTTAGGCCCCGTTAAACGGGCTAGTCTGAAGCCGGTCACTGTTGACTGAAGCCTGACTCGATTTTAAATTTTTTAGGTTTAAGGTCAGATTAAATTGACTTTCTTTTTTAGTCTGATCCAAACATCATATTTTTTAAATTTTTTTTTTTAAAAAAATACTTTATAAAATTATAGGCCAGACCGATCTTAAACTTTTTAGACAGGATTGGGCTGGGCCGACTCTTTCTCTTTTAGGGTTAGGCTGGTTCGGCCCGAAATTTTTCTCGACCTAAATTTACATCTCTAATTTATGGCCATAGTTACTTGACTTACAATTACAAAAAAGAATGGACACCAGCAATCATGAAAATAAAAGTGGAAACTACTTTTGAGAATTCAATGTGGGCAATCCATCAAGTCTGCATCGAAAACACGAAAATGGGACGAAAATGGAGACATTCGGTTGCGAGTCTCTTTGGGGCGGGGGTAATGTTAGGTTCTGATTATTAGAGCTAGTAATTAGTAGTTAGTTAAGGAGTATAATTTACTAGAGGGTCATTAGTTAGCATTGGATTATAAGGTAATTATTAGTATTATGACAGGCTCCTAGAAGTTATTAGTTAGTTAGATAATTGATTAGTTGTTGCTATTTGTTAGTATGCTTTTAAGCATTTAGTTATCAGTTTGTTAGAAGGGTTAGTAGTATAAAAGGGACAGGCTAATAGTCAATGGGAATTATAGATTGATTTGTGAGTTTGGGAGTAACTTTTGGGAAGAGCTAGCAGACCTCTCGAACGTCTGCCGATCTATCATGTAATTTCTTTTAATTATTTCATCAATATAATTTTACTTTTATGTTCAATTCCTCAATTTAAGTCCGGTTCTTATCATATTATTAGTATAAAACTGGTTGGCAGGGAAGCGAAGGCTTATGTCTGAGAGTTTTGAGAATTGATTTGAGGCTTGGGAAACCAAGTTGTGGGAAAGTTGCAGCCGTTGGCAGGGAAGCCAAGGCTTATGTCTGATTATCTGAGAGTTCTAGGAATTGATTTGAGGCTTGGGAAACCAAGTTGTGGGAAAGTTGCAGCCTATAGAATGCTGCTCTATCAGTGTTTCTTCATTTTATTTTGATTCAATAAAGCTTAATTTCTTAAGAAATTGATGGGTTCCTAAGAGAGATTGAGGGGCATTCATTTTCCATAGTGATGTGTACGAGCCATGTACGAGCCACCTAATCATGTGTTTTTCTCATAAAATTAGGAATCTTTAGTCTAGCAAGACTCCCGTGTTATAAAGAACAAAGAAAAAAGGGAAAACCGATCTAAGTCTCACTAAGTTTGTTTCTTTGACTTGCAATAACAGCAATGACATGTTTACTTACTAGGAGTGGGGAATGAAAATTAAAAATCGGAATCAACTCCATGTTTACTTCCCTATTTTTATCTTGAAATGGGAGTAGGAATGTGTTGGTCTCACACCAATTTAGGGTTGAAGAATGAGATTGACATTCCCCCCACCCACCGAATTAACACTCCCAATCCTGATAGTAAATGTAAATTACGATTTTACTTTTAATTATACTAACAAATTTGTAAATAGAAAAGTAAAAAGTAAAAAATTAAAAATGCCCTAATTTAGTTTCATGTTTCTCATATCTCCTTGCTTACTTTCTCTAATATTTTCTTCTCCTCAAAACATAGCATTGCATCCAAAACAACTAAGAGCATCCCTCTTCTCTTTAAGGTGAGTCAATAACATAAATCAATGTGGTTCTTTTTTATTGAATCGCAAGTTTATTCTTTTATTTTTATTTTTTTTGTGTTTATTTGTTGAATATGTGATCAAACTATGTTTTGCCCCTTGATTGCACAACATCATTTCAAGAATTCGTGGAGATCCAGACCATTACAATTTCTAATTACTAATTAAAAAAAATCTAGGTGTGATAAAAAAATCTAATTATTAATTAGTTATCCTAATATTAAGATAGTTAGCATAATATACAATTTTATTTTAAAGTTCAACACACAAAAATCTACTAAAAGGGTAGGTAAGTAAATTTATAGCTGTTTATTCCGATTCTGGGTGTAACTAAACGCATGAATAGGATTATGACTGATTCCGACTCTAATTTCTGAAACCTAAGTAAACAACTTATTCCGACTCCGATTCATGTCCACTCCGAATCCTGTCCACTTCGATTCATGTCCACTCCAATTACGGATAAGTAAACATGCCATAAATTACTTAATACTTCATTAAATTTTAACCAATGATTACATGCACAAAGATAATTTACTACGTAAGTTATTAGGATATCTGTTTCCAAGGTTAGTAAACACTAAAACAAAATTATTTTCTTTACTTTCTAAAACTTTCCCCTTTCCGAAATACATTCCATTACAATTTAGTAAAAACACCTAAGTATTACTACTCATGAAGCATCGCAGAACAAGTAGAGAACAATGCGAGCTATCATCACTACCAGCAATGGATCCCAATTGAATTTCGGAGGAATATACGAAAAAGCTTCTTTAAACACAAATAGACAATACGTTCTTACTCCAAACAGAATTGGTCTTAATGCACCTTGATCACAAGCCTAGCAAAGTAGGAAAAATACAAGATGTTTGTTAACCAACCTGCTGGATTAAAACTCAGTTTCAGATCTTCTTTCAGCCTTCCTATAAAACAAACTTCTTAAAAGAAATGAGAGAAGTTTTTCCTTTGGGGTTGGGGTGGACTGGCGGGGCAACCAAAAGGGACACCCTAAACGCTATGGTTATCTGAATTTCCCCTAAATCTTTATTTATCAAACTCCCATATAACACCTCCATCCTCTGCAACACAAAATGCAAGAGAAGAGAGAAGGAAAGGAATAGCATTAGCACAATAATACTGCTTATATTATGCTATTTAGTATAATCAATGAAGTCCTAGAAATCAAAAAAATGCTCAAAGACGCCAATTGCAGGAGAAGAGACATGAAACGGAATAGCATATGCACAATAACACTACTTAATTTATGCTATTTTTAGTACAATAAATAAGTCCTAGAAAACATATTTCAAAAAGGAAAAAGAATAAAATTCCTAGAAACAAGAAATGCTCAAAGAAAATTACCAAATCCGTAACCCTTATCAAACAGGGTTCTATTTAGTCTAAATGCCAATTCCAAAAATATATGTCACTACTCCATTTAGATTAAAAACTTAAACATTAACAATTTCCTGGAAATCCTTCAAGATGATAACCAATATTGACCACGGATTATCACCACTTTTACCATGCATCAATTCGCTTACTCTAGGAAAATTCTTATTTCACCATAATTAGTAATCAAATCTAAATTCTTAAAAAATGAAATTTAAAGCATATAAACAAAACCGCACTTCTAATCATACAACAGAAGGGAAAATGGATTACAACTATCTTTCAACTCAAGAAAAGGAAAAGCAAAATGTAGAAACAAAGGACAGACCTTTAATCTTCTTATTAATCCAAATCTCAAGTAACATGCCAGCACCAATTCCACCAGCAATACAAGCTCCAAAGAAGCCGAGGTTATAAGCAAGTGATCTCCGCGGAAGAAAGTAGTAGTCTGGAATTTCCCTCATCTTCTTCGGAAGACGCTTCTTTATGACCGGTTTACTACTTGGGTCTTTCTGCAATTCAGTTCCAACAGCTTTCCAATCCACACCTTTGAATGGATCTTTTGGCTCTTCACTTCCCATTTGTTTATTTATTTCAAATTTCAAATCCAAATTTTACAGCTACAATTAGGAAGCACGAACTGCAAATTTGAAACAAAGCCTATGATAATCGTGAGCCCAGTGACAAATTTTTTGCAACTAAATTGTTTGGTTGGTTACTGAGAAAATATAAGAAAAAAGACATCAGAATCAAATTACTCAACTCTAGTAAGTACAAAACTTTCGTAAATTCAATCCACATTAAATCGAAATCAAAAGCATAAGAAAAACTAGCTTTAAATTACGAAACCAGTTTACCACAATTAAGAGGAAAAAACAATGAATCATCCACCAAATTTCCAAGTTTCCAATAAACAGAAACAAACACAATCATTCATCCAAAGACCACGATGCTAAAAATGGGCGTCCAAAAACAAAATCGGACCGTGGGATCATCCAAAAGCAAATTCCAAACCATTCGAACAATCCTTCAACCAAAGAAAAATGGAAAGAAAAAAGGAAAAATTATGAAAGATAATAGCAGATTTAAGCATCATCATTTCTAAAAATTCGAAAATACCCCTCCTTGTAACAAACAGATCTGAGGAGACTGAGGGAGGAGAAACTGATACAGAGATTGGAACGGGCGGTGGCACGCTTGGATGCGCTCTCGGCCGGGAGGTTTCAGGGCCGGAGGTTTGCCGGGGGGCGGCTGCGATGACGCTGCGGCGGTGTACCCGTTAATTCTGGCCTTCGACGATCTGATTAGGCAGTATAAAAAGAGCCGAGAAAGGGGGAGACTAATAGAGAACGAGTTGAGAGAGAGAGAGAGAGAGCCGAGAAAGGAAGGGAGGGAGGAGGTGTCCAGACTCGAGACGAGAGTGTGATCGAGAGAGAAAGAGAGAGAGAGGGTTTTTGAATTTTAAGGAAATTTTTATGGTTTTAATCACGTTTAATTTATAAATTAAAATTATTATTGATTTATGTGTATTTTTTTAAAAATATATATTATAATAAATTATAAATCATAATTCAAATTATAATTTAAATTTTTTAACTAAACGTCACCTTAGTTAAAAATAAAGGTAACATAAGAAAAATAAATTTAGATTTTTAAGAATTTATTAGGTTGTTGTTTCACGGGTTTTGATTTTTAATTTAAAATTTAAATTTTATCAGAAAATTTATTAGTAGAAACTTTTTTTTATTTAAATTTTTATGAAAAAAATATTATCATAAAATTAGAATCAAAATAAACGTGTCTCTATTTATTAACTAACTAAAATAATTATGTTATTTATTAGTTCCATTTTAGGAAAACTGCTATATGGTACAATTTTCCACAAAAACTCTTCTCTCGTTCAAAACGCACGTCGTATATAGATAGACTTTCTTGCACCGTTACCCTTGAACTTGTTGCTCATTTGCAATGTGCTGTAAACCTTTTTTTTTCAGCGATTAACACCTTAAATTTATGAATATGTTGCAAAACGCACTAATTGATAACGATGTCACTTTTTTTTTTGTTTTTTTAGATATTGACATGTTAATAAGCCTGCAAAATTAGTTAACGCTAACATTTTGTTAAGATTAAAAGTAGATTCTCTTTTATCAAGATTTTCAACTATGAAAATAAAGAGCGCGTTTAAAACTCGTACTAAAATGATTTTATTTTTATATGAAAATGGAAATGAAAACATTTTTAATCTCATACAGAAATCATTTTTAAAAATGCGTTTAATAGTTTTATTAAGAGATTATTTTCAGCATAAAAAACTCATTAATGTCTCTCTCTCTGTTCGAGAGAGGAGAAAACGAAAACAAAAAATAAAAAACGACTAAAAGTCGTTTTTCATTTCTCTCTTATTTTACACTAAACAAAAAAATCATTTTTATTTTTATTTTTTATCTTTAATTGTGTCAAACGCCGTTTTGGAATCGTTTTTATTTTTTCTTTCTTGAAAAATGTGAAAAAAAAATCCCAAACACAGGAAAATATATGGTCTTTTCTGATTTGTAATTTCGTGGATCAAAATAAGAAAAATATTTGGGGCCAATCTCTAGTAGTGTGTGATGAGAAATATTACAACATGTTGACTTTTAGAGGTATTTTATATGAAAATATGTACCCAAAAATTACTTGATTTTTCCCCTAAAAAAATAAAAAAGGATGGTTTTAGCGGTTGCTTCAGTTCATCTTTCAGGTAAGTTCACACTACATGTAGCGGAGCATTTAGCCATTAGAGAAAGTGTGTAGCTCGATGCGTCTCAAAGCTATATGGATTGGGTAGTTGAGTCCGATGCAATTAACGAAGTTCGAGTCGTTCAATGCTCTTCTGATCAAGCTCTTAAGGCTGCTATAATTTAATATATTAGGGACGTCATTTCTTGTGGCTTTGTTTGCTACACTTCTCATGAAGGAAACGGTATAGTCCACACGTTGAGGGGTTTTGCTTTTACTCATTTTATTATCATGTTTTGATTTTTTAGTTTCTTATTTTATTAGTCGTGATGTAATGAACGATATTCCTCGCATTTAATAATTCACATGTTTTTTCCTAAAAATAAAAACTTCATTTTTCTTAGGGTTTAATTTTTCAGTTTGATACCGTGTATTTTAAGGTTATAAAAATATTAATACTTTTGCTCGTTTGTTTTCTATACTTGAACTTATGATTTCGATTATGTTATAGTATTTTTTGTCTCATAAAGAATGAGTTTAAAAATTTTGTCTTTTACAAAGTCCTCGTCAATAAATCATAATCACTAACTTGAACGCGTGAACCAAACAAACCCTATATATTTTTGAATAATATGACCTTTATTCCTTCATTTCAAATTCATGTTATAAATATGATAAAAAAAATTAAAAACACGCACGATCCTGAAAAAGCTTTATGGTGGTTGATTTTTATTGAAAAAGCTAACATCTATTAAATTAGATTTTACTTCTTTATTGATTGATTAAACATTCTTACCAGAGAAAAATAAAAAGGGTAATTAGTATGGATGGTCCTTAATCTCTAGGTGACATATTGATCCCTATTCTTTTAATTTTGGCAAAACGATCTCCAAACTCTCAAAACATTGGCAATCAAGCCCTTTATGTCAAAATCCATTAAGTTTTTAACAGACTCTTTCACGTGAGCCGTCATGTGCTCTCTTTTTTAGTGAGAAGACCAAAACACCCTCAAAAGAAAAAAAAATTAAAAACAAAAAAACTCAAACCTGAAAAAAAAACAGACAAAAACAAAACCAAACTCTTCCATCGTCAATGTTGCCGGCAACCATTACTGTCCTTCTGCCACACTTCCACCACAAAACCAAAATCACTATCTAATCAAGATAATGGAATCTAAAAAATTGCATAAACCAAACAAAATCATAGAACCTAAACCAAATAACAAGAAAATCATTGAAACCTAAACAAAAGGGTCTCGTAAAAAAAAAGGGTTATTGCAGATCATTGGAGAGAGTTGCATAGTGAGAACTCCTCCACACATCCCTCCCCACCACCTCTCGTGCACAGCTCGAGCCCCCCGCCCCCTTCCGTCGCAAGATCACCACCCTTCTCTCACCGTTGTGAGATCGCACCCCCCTCCATCCTTGTTGTCGTGAAATCGAAGGTCCCTTACCTTGCCGTCATGAGATTGAGCCCACCCTTCCCTGTCAACACTAGATTGAAGCCCCCTTGTCCCCATCGCTGCGAAGCAAGAGCCACCTGTCACTTGTTCAGATCGGAGTTCCTTTTCTGTTTCTGTCTCCCCACGCCGCTATCGTTGCCCAGATCTCTGAAAGCCCAACATCGCCGCCTGGATCTCAGCGAATCAGAAGGCCGCGCCATTGCCCAAATCTCCGCAAACCCTGAATGCCGCTACCAAGACTTCGTGAACCCAAGGCCGCTACCTAGAATTTGCAAACTTAGAACGCCGCCGCCACCTAGAGTCTGCAAACCCAACGCCAACGGTCTCCTCTCTCTCTCTCGCTAGCTAATTCCAAGTTTTCTGAATAATATCAGCCTCAAATTGAATAAACTCGTGATTTTATGAAAATAACCCTTGTAATCGGGTCACATGAGGATCACACGGGTTTAAATGTGAGTAATTTGACGGATCTAAATGAAAAAAACTTAATTACACCTATTTAATAACGTTATGGATCGTCTTATTAAAATTAAAAGAATAAAAATTAAATTATCACGTATTAAAAAGTTAGGGATCATCTGTACTAATAATCAAAATAAAAATAACAAAATCAGAAAAAGGAACCAAAATCGCACGTGCCTGACACTAGTTTTCAGCAAAGAGCGAATAGCGAGGGTGTTGAATGGCGAAATCCTCTCTCACTCCAATTCACAATCCTCTCTCTCACTCCAATTCACAATCCTCTTCTCTCTTTCTCTATCCGCTGCCTACTCCATCTCTTCCTCTCTCAAGTCGCTTTCGCTATCCGCACCCTCCGGAGCCCCCAAGGCCACTCCTTCCGATTTGCTCTCTCTTCTCGGCCCCAAACGCCGCTCCTCGGCGGTCAATCCTCTTGTGGCCCAAGAACTCAAGTCATGCTTCAAATTTCTCGTGCCTTTTACTCCGAATCGGAACGAAACGGTCCGTGGAAGCTGGTTTTCCCATAGAAGGAGCTTGAGACCGGACAGAAATGGAGGTCGGACGAGGAGAGAGGAGGAGGAGAACGAGCTCGTTTGGTGGCCCCCACGGCCAGTGTTGGAATTGGCTCGGCTCGCCGTCGATTCCGGTGGCGATCCCGGAGCTATTCATAGAGCTCTTGACCCGACCATAATTCCTGTCAGTTTGTGTTCTTCGTTTCTTAACCCTTTTTTTTTTTCCTTTCCATTTTCACTGTCTTTATCTGATTCTTTTCTCTGTGGATATTATATAGTTACTTGGTTATAAGAGTGTTTTGGTCTTCTTTCTTTACTGAAGTGGTTGTCTATACTATGAATAGATAATGTGTGTTTAAACCGAGTATGAGTATGCTTAATTCTGTAATTGACAATTTTGCTCCACTTGCATGATATTTAAGGTGTTTAAGTGAATCTAGGCTCTAGGATATTTATGTTGGCAACCAGTTTATAGACTTGAGGACCACATTGGGCTTTTATGCTAAGACTTATCCGACCCAAATTGCCAACAATTTAAGGCTGACGATAAGTCAACGTTAGTATCCGGGTTTTCATCAAAATTACTAAACTCAATGACTTTGGTAATCTAGGGGCTTTTATTATTTTTGGGTAAAAAAAAAAAGAAAAAATCTACAAGGATCACTCCTAATTTTTTTTAAGGGTAAATAATCTTAAGGATGATTCGTTTGGTGACGTGATAGGTACCTGATGTTGAAGGATCAGAAGAAGTAAGGTGTCAGCTCACCAGAACACCATATGGGAGACACTTTATAAGTGAGGTTTGCATCAAAGAAATAAAACTCAAGTTCACTCTATGCTAATCATGTAACTTTTTCTTGATGTTTGTTAATGTAATTTACTATGCTAAAATTGCAGGAACTGAATTCGTACTTTGAGTTGTTGTTTGAACTTATTGTTGCTAGGGCTCCCGCTATTGGGTTGAATTTATCGTTGACTCGCTATGATTTGTTTCATGGGCACCTTTTAATTGCCAGAGACACCGGAAGACTTGGTATATTGTAAGTTGTCCCCCCCTTTTTTTTATTATTGCCTATTTGTACTTAAAAGGCTTTTATTACAAAAGGTATTACCTGCCCTTGGTGTTTACAATATAATTTTCATTTGGCAGGTTTCATGCAAAAGAATACCCAGCATTTGATAAAAAAACGTTTCCATACAACATGGGCTATTGTCAAAGAGGTAAATTCCACTAAAATAATTTCATCACTCTTTGTTTTCTATGATTCCATTGTGATCATCCCTTTCAACTTCCTGCTCTCTCATTTTCTGGTGTTACTTGAGTATATTAGCTGATTAAGAAAGATTTAAGTGACTAGCTCTTCCATCCATCAAATGAAAGAATTCCTTCTTTTCGTATTATCTTCAGATTATGACTGACTTGGAGTCTGATATTCTTGCAGGGTCAAATGTGACATATGATGATTCAATGAACTTGCGAAATATTCTTTGGCTGGCTCCGTTGCCCAGCAATTCAAACAAAGCTTGGGAAGCACCAGGTACTTTCCTGGTATACTCATTTTCCACTTAATTGGCATCTCTTATAACTGATCTAAGATCAGCTTTATTAACATATGTGTTGGAGTTCAAAGGTACAATTAACTAATTTAATTCCCTTTTTTTCCATTGTAAATTTTGCTACGGAATTACAAAAATAATTCGAGGAATTTGAAATTTTATGAGAAACATATATCCATAATAATACCTACCTAGTCATGGTCATAGGAAGATCTGATAATTTGTTTCTTTTAAGTATCACGTTTCTCATTTATCAAACTTGAACTCTCGTTTTTTTCTGTTTTTCAATTATCATTGAAAATCTCATAAAGATATATTCTTGATCTCAAAATCTAGACAGAGATTATTGATCTTTGCATGACCATTACACATATGGTTTGTTATACAATTCCAATAGGTGTCCTGGTGGTGCTGGATGCCCGTCCCGGAGGAATTATATATCGAGATATTATACCTGAATATGCCAATTTTGTGAGAACCATATATGAAGGTTTTAACTATCTTTTTCACTTTATTTTGTGACTTTAGTTTGAGAATTTGTATCTTCTCATTGTTTCACTAGCTTTGAACTGGTTTCAGAGAATTAAACTAACACAAGGTTGTTCTTTCTTCTGGTCAGATGATCTCGGGGATGTTATAGTCGATGTCAATTACTTGAACGTAGGAGATGAAGTCCCAAATTATAAACTTTTCATTTGTTGACATTCTTTGTAAGTTACACCCGAACTTGTTTTACCCTTTTTTTTCTCTCTCCTGGCCAATGGTGGTTGAACAGTAAATCAATCTCAAATAACAGATTGCCATAATATTTGTGGAAAAACCGAGTAATTGGAGAGGAATCCAGCTACTTTCCTTATTTGACTAAGTGTAAATTAGTTTCTTGATTTCTAGAGTTATATTAGGAATGTTCTAGGATAATTGGAAGTAAGTTTCTCTTTTTTTTTAGGAGAGAATCACCGGAATTTCTCCTTGGATGATTAAGGTTCTTGGTTCTTCTCTATTTAAAGAGAAAGAGTGATTGTAAAAGTGTGTAATATGAGATAAAGCAATTTCATCTTTTCTCCCAAATACCTTTATGGTATCAGAGCAGGAATAATGCTTTATTCCCATGGCGAAAACCGCCATGACAGGGGCTTCTCGTGAAGCCACCTCCGACGCAACCAGCGAGCACATCTCGCCAACGACTTAGAACTCCCAAGGAGGATCACAGCAAATCATCAACGTCAGTGATAGTCACTCACTGCAGATCACACAACACAAGTTAAACGGAGCCAATTTGGTCCCAATCTGTTATCCTTTTTATTGATGGAAAGGGACGGCTAGATTACTTGACCGGAGAAGCAAAACCGCCTGAAATAGGGACACCGGCGTACAAGAAGTGGAAATTGGAGGACTCAACGGTGAAGGTGTGGTTGTTAAACTCAATGGAACTTGCCATTAGCCGAGTCAATCTTTACTACAAGAATACGAATGCAATTTGGGAGATGGTAGAGATGTATTCGGATCTTGAGAATTCAGCCCAAATCTTTGAAATAAAGTAAGCCCTAAGAGAAAAAAAGGCAAGGTAATCTTAGTGTCACCGAATACTATAATGAATTACAAGTATTGTGGCAGGAATTGGATTTGTACCAGGATTTCAATTGGAACTGCTCCACCGATAGTGCAAAATTCAATAAGATGCTTGACAAAGAACGAGTTTTTGACTTCCTACTCGGACTCAACAAGGAACTAGATGAAGTTCGTGGACGTGTGCTTGGTTTCAAACCATTCCCCGAAATTAAGGAGGCTTGTAGAAGTGGGACGTGAAGAAACGCGGCAAAGAGTGATGCTTGGCCGAAAGGAGAAAAACGTGCAGCCTGTTATGGAACCACCTCACCAAGAGTCAGCATTGGTGGTTAGGAAAAGTCCTAGTTCCAGTGGAGATGGCCGAAATCAGAGGAGGAATGATAGACCATGGTGTGACCACAACAAACGTAATGGACACACAAAGGACACATGCTGGGACAATAATGGGAAGCCAGCAGACTGGAAACCAGCAAGAGAACGTTGGCGCCAGCGACAACTTTTTTAGATATAGATAACTAGGATGACCAAGTCTATTGTGCCATAACATAATTTCATTGGAAACATAAGCAGAATTACAACTAAAAGCTTGAACTTGTTTATTCTTAGAAAGTGGAGAACCTTCGAATAGGTATAGCCCATCACATTCCTTAGCACTGCCAATCGTTCTCCCTGAAAGTAAATCCTGAAACTCACACAAAGAATGAGAGAACATAGCAGAACAATTCATATCTCTTGGTAACTTCGCAATGGACAAAAGATTACAGGCAATAGTGGGAATATATAACACAGAATGCAATGTTATATAATCCGAAATTCTCATTGTTCCTTTCCTGTTACGGATGCTAATGAGCCATCAACAATTTTAATCTTTAGACCATCATTATTAGTATTGAACTCTGAGAAAAGACTCTTACAATTGGTCATGTGATATGAAGCTCCCGAATTAGCAATCCAAACATCTTTACACGTATTTTTGGTTGTTAGAGCGGAGAGAAAATGACCCTTTTGCGCTACTGTTGCTGTTGGCTCCATGGAGGATGTTGTTGCTGGTGCTCGCTGTGACAAGAGCACTTGAAGCTGCTCTAATTGCTCCTTGCTGAATGTCGAACCAATGCTGCTTTCTGCAGCCTTTTCGCTTCCTCCAGATGAGGCTGCAAAGCCTTGGCCTTCACTAGGTTGTCGCTGGCACAATAGACTTGGTCATCCTAGTTTCCTATATCTAAAAAAGTTGTTTCCCTCTTTGTTTGTCAATAAAGATGTTCACTCGTTTGTTTGTGAAACATGTCAGTTTGCAAAACATACCCGTGTTCCCTATCCTTTACAAATTTATAAAATCTCTAAACCTTTTGCACTCATTCATAGTGATGTTTGGGGGCCTTCAAGAATAAGTAATATATCTGGTGAACGCTGGTTTATAACCTTTGTTAATGATCACACTCGAGTTTGTTGGGTATTCCTTTTGAAAGAAAAATCAAATGCCACACGGATTTTCCAACAATTTCATAAAATTGTGGAAACCCAGTTTCAGACAAAAATCCAAATTCTTTGTATAGATAATGGACAAGAATACTTTAATAATACTTTTGGTCCTTATCTAGTAGAAAATGGAATAATTCATTAAAGCTCTTGTGTTGACACCCCTCAACAAAATGGTGTTGCAGAACGCAAGAACAGACACTTACTTGAAATGGCTTGTGCACTCATGTTCACTAATAATGTTCCTAAATCTTTCTGGGGTGAGGCAGTTCTTACATCGCCCTATATGATCAATCGTCTTCCATCTCGTGTCCTTCAGTATCAAACACCTTTAAACATTCTTCGTCAGTCTTATCCTCAATCTCGCCTATTTCATAATCTTCTTCTCAAAACTTTCGAGTGTACTGTTTTTGTTCATTCAACCTCCCCTTAGCTAAGCAAACTTGATCCTAGAGCTGTCAAATGTATTTTCTTGGGCTACTCTCCAAATAAAAAGGGGTTCAAGTGTGACTGTCCAAGTACACGAAAAGTATACACATCCATGGATGTTTCTTTTTTCGAAGATCAAGCTTACTACCCCAAATCTACCCTTTAGGGGGAGAGTGACAGTGGAAGGCAGCTTTGGGATTTTTCCATTGAGTCAAAGTCTCTTAGCACACCAGTTAAAAGCCCTGTGTTACCTATTGTGCTATCTAATGATTTGGAAATAGGTGGAGAATCACATGTGCAAAGTACACAAAATGAACCACAAAAAGAATCACAAAAAGAACTTCATGTTTATTCTAGGCGGGGTGGACAATCTCAAAGATAAGAGAAGCCTATCACTACTACAGAGCATTGTCAAGAGCCTGAACCGAAGGTAAACACACAAATGATTGAGACAGGTTTTGTTCCTGAGGAATCTGGAGTAGTGGAAAGTTAGTCAGTTGAGTTAGAGCAGTCTGTCAGTGATCTTGAGGTCCCTATTGCTCTTCGGAAAGGTACCCGGACTTGTACTTAGCAACCTCTCTACAACTTCATGTCACTCACTCATCTATCCCCTGCCTTTCGAGTTGCAACCGAGAAGAAATTTGCAGAAGAGACGCCTAGAAGTATTCATAAGGCACTGACAAAACCACAGTCGAGGAAGGCTGTTTTAGAAGAAATGGAGGCCTTAAAAAAGGAATGGCACGTGGACAGTTGTTGAGCCACCTAAAGGGAAATGTCCAGTTGGCTGCAAATGGGTGTTTACTATCAAACATAAGTCAAATGGTTTGGTAGAAAGGTATAAGGCAAGATTGGTAGTGAAATGTTTCACACAAACCTTCGGAGTTGATTATAATGAGACATTTGCATTGGTTGCCAAACTCAACATGATCAGAATCCTACTCTCACTTGCTGCTAATCTCGACTGGCCTCTGCATCAGTTAGATGTCAACAATGCATTCTTGAATGGAACTCTTGAAGAAGAAGTGTATATGGATTTACCTCCAGGTTTCGAGGGAGAGTTTGGTTGTAATAAGGTGTGTAGATTGGAGAAGTCTCTCTACGGACTGAAACAGTCTCCTAGAGCATGGTTTGATCGGTTTACTAAGGCAGTTAGGAGTTTTGGCTTCACACATGGGCAAGCTGATCATACCCTGTTTTATAAACACTCTGGTGGTAAGGTTTCAATTTTGATAGTATATGTTGATGATATCATTCTAACTGGAGACAACCTTGTGGAGTTATCTGAATTGAAAAAGGTGTTGGCTAAAGAATTCGAAGTCAAGGATTTGGGATAGTTGAGATACTTTATGGGAATGGAAGTGGCTCGCACGCGAAAAGGTATTTCTTTTTCTCAGAGAAAGTATACTATTGATCTCTTAAAGGAAACGGGTATGCTAGGGGCAAGGCCATCCGAGACACACCAGTGGAAGTGAATGGATTTTGAAAGAAAAATGAGTTAGGAGATCCTGTAGACAGGAGGAGATATGAAAGGCTGGTGGGAAGACCAGGCTTGACATAGCATTTGCAGTTAGTGTTGTGAGCCAGTATATGCACTCCCCTCATGAAGAACATCTCAATGCAGTCTACCGGATTCTAAGATACCTTAAAATGACACCAGGCAAAGGCTTGTTCCTTGGGAAGACTAATAAGAGGCACATCGAAGCTTTTACTGATGCTGACTGGGCAGGTTCAATTGAAGATGGAAACCTTGTTACTTGGAGAAGCAAGAAACAGAATGTTGTGGCTCGCAGCAGCGCAGAGGTTGAGTTCAGAGTTCTAGCACATGGAATTTGTGAGGCTATTTGGATTAGAAGAGTGTTGGAAGAATTGAGATTTGAGAATAGATCAACGTTAAAGGTCTATTGCGACAATCAAGCAGCTTTGTGTATATTTCAGAATCCAGTTCACCATGATCACACCAAACATGTGGAGATTGACAGACATTTCATCAAAGAGAAGATTGATGAGGGAATAGTGGAGCTTTCTTATGTTCCTTCATCCCAAAAAGTAGCTGATGCTTTGACCAAGGGATTATCAAGACAAAACTTTGAATTTCTAGTAGACAAGCTGAGAATGATTAATATATATTCTCCATGTTGAGGGGGAGTGGAAAAACCGAGTAATTGGAGAGGAATCCGGTTACTTTCCTTATTTGACCAAGTGTAAATTAGATTCCTAATTTCTAGAGTTATATTAGGAATGTTCTAGGATAATTAGAAGTAAGTTTCTTTTTTATTTTAGGAGAGAATCACCGGGATTTCTCCTTGGATGATTAGGGTTCTTGGTTCTTCTCTATTTAAAGAGAAAGAGTGATTGTAAAAGTGTGTA